ATGCAGAAGGTGAGGTAAACAAAGCTTTCTTAGCATGGCTTATTCTCATTCCTGGCTGATAACCTAACAGGCCAACTATTTAGGATGACCACTGTCTGCTTTAAGTGTCAGCACATGAAAGTGTGCACCCATGACTATTAGCAAACAGAGCTGGAACATAAAAGGAGCTCTGCAGCCTGAGCTGCTCAGAATACTCATTTAGCATGAGACACTGGACATAATGACATCTACATTTAAGTCCATTATACCGATACATGTAATTTTTCTTCTCCTGGTTAGCAAATTGCCTCATATTTTTCAAATTATCCTCTGAGGTTTTGAATGACATGGTGAGGGATAATGAGCCAGACCCCAGGATGGATGAGGCACAAAAGGGGTCTTCTCCCTTATCCATCGCTTTGTAATAAAGAAGTAAAAGGCAGCTGGGAAGGACATGGGAGACACCCCTGCCCATTTCAATCCTTTCTCCTGTGTCTAAGTGCATTTCCCACCTAAAGCAGGAGAAAATATTGGGGAATGTGACTCCCCACCAAAACAAAATCCTTCTTCTTCATTCTGACTTTGCCCATGAAATCCGATTTTCCCCTTTATTTTCCTTTTTCATGGGAAAAATAATGTTTTCACCAGGGGAAAGAAGAGCCTCTTGGGATTGTTATTCTGGAATTTTTCCCATTTCCTAGTCTTAATAGGCTGAAGAGGGTTGTTTTGCTTCCCTGCATAGAAGCAGTATCACAGGGCTGGGGCGAAGGTACCCCCCTTGCCAATATTGAGCCCCCAGCTCCTGCCCTTTGGAAAAGGCAGGAACTCACCCAAAAATTCATTGCCACAGTGTTATCAGTCACAGTCACCTTGATCAGCATCAAACACCCTCAGTGCCATCCTTGGCCTCCCCATCACTGCCAGGTACTGCTCACCTCTGTTTTGCACCATAGCACTAGAATGGGAGTTTTGGAGTGCTTCTTTTTGGTGAAAAAAAAAATGGTTGTGTTGTTGGATAAAAGCCTTTTGGACCAGCTGGGTCCTACCAGAGTCAAACTTCACAAGAAGTAGGATGATATCACTGCCCCAGGACAGATATACACCTGAAGCAGACAAGACGTCCATTTGCTGTGGCTATGTTTTGAAACATCATTATGCTGAAGATCACAGTGAAATAGTTTTAACATTTGGCAGGTTCTGCCTTCAAATAAACTCATAGGTTGTGATCTCAAATGCTATGACAGTATATTTGCACAGTCAGGAAAGAGACGGCTCAGAGCCTGGTCCCTGGTAGCTGATTGATGGCCAAGTTCAGGCTGATGAGGTATGTCTGGGGCTGGGTGTTAGAAGCAATGTTCATCATTTTTTATTTGACAGTTTCTTTTGGTGATTAAGCACCTTCACAACACTGCTAAATTAGCCCATCTGCACACACACACAACTGGGCTTACATAAGGGGCTGGCAGTAGCAGCAAGGGATTCTCCATGTCCTAAAGAACCAGTTATCAAACTGGTGAGTCCAAGGCATAGTCAGGCATTTACCCTGTTGCAGTTCAGAAGTAGGCCTGCGTATAACACAAGGGAGAGATTACAGTAGTGCCAGCTTCCCATCACCCAAGGATCGGGATTTTCCACAGCTGCTTCTCACAGGCACCTCTGTATAAATGTCTGTGCTTGGCTGGTTACAATGGGAATTGCCATTCATCACGGCAGGAGGGGGCTTAAGCTGTCTCAGAGCAAGTTGTCAGTTAAGCAACGCTTAATATAGAGCAGTACAAGACATGGCTTCACAGCTAAAAAGCCTTAAACATTTCAGATGTAGCATCTTCCAAGCTACCTTCTGCAGTACTCATTATTATTTTCCTACTGCTGAGATCCCTACATCCTGAGATGCCCAGCCAAGACAGGCACTTTGTGTTCATTATCCAGTGTAATATTCACTGGTCTATTTAATTAAAGCTTAGAAAATGTACTTGATGAATTAGAAGTTACCGGGTGTGGGAAGGGAGGGGGAATGCAGAAATAGATTAACATTGGCTGATCTTTTCAACTGTTTAAAAAATTATTTCTTTGGGTTTTACACTCACAAAGCCTTGTGGGGTGTTCCCCCTTCTCACGGGTACCTCATTTCTCATAGCAGCAGTTGCTGACTACCAAGGAGCCTCTCTTGTAGGAGCTGCTTGAGGCTGTGTTGCAAGAGGTCTAGCAGAGCTGAAGTGTCAGACACATTGCACTGCCTGTTTCTCCTTCCAGCCCATCCATTATTCCCTGGATCTATCAACTTCACACCACATGGAGGAATGCTGCTCTCAGGGGAGTCCTCAACGGAAATCTGAGAGTTGCCCCTTAAAACTGATCAGCTTGAAACATGCTGCAAGAAAGGGCTTAAAAGCTTAACAGGCAAAACAGGCAGAGGAAGGCAGTTGAGGGAGGAGTATTTCCCAAACACAGCCCAACAGCCCCAAGCAGCTAAATGATTTTCTGAAGGTCATCAAGGAAACCTGTGTCCGAGTCAGGAATTCAACCCAGATTTTTTTGCTTGGTTCATTGCCTTAGCAGCTGGATGCTTCTGCCTGCCTCCTTAGTCACTGACATTGGCGATTGTGAAGTGCTGTTTCCTTTCCTTAAGAAGGGGAACTAACAGGAAGAGGTCTGACAGACAGTCAGGATCAGTGCATAGAATGTGTCTTTCCCTTCCCCCTTCTGTGAATTCAGGGGAGCCTGCTCCAGTTCGGGTTTTCCAAGCTTGCCACACAGAAAATCCCACAGGAGTTCTCTGCAAATCTGTTTTAAGTAGCACCATTTCCCTGGTGGACATGGTTTGCATTTGTCTGGGTGCATGTGTGCGAGCCGGTAGCTCCCCAGCACACTCTTCATTCTGGGGATCACTTGAGAACTGGGCTTTCTTTGTGAAGATGGAGAATTATGTGCAGGCTCTGTGCTCTGAGAGACTCAATCTTGTACAGAAAATGATCTGTTCATGTGTGTCTATGTGGAAAGCCTTGGGAAAGATCCTAGCAGCCATAAGAAATGCAATATTGCCCTCTAGTGATGGTGAGGATGCTCTCGTTTGATCTGAGGAAACAAAAAGCTTTCTGGGATTAAAAACTGAAATAAATGTTCCTGTTTTCTTCTGACCGGGAATTAAAGATCCTACTGTGACAACTTGGAGAGCGCTGGTAGTGATGATAAGCAGAGGAGGTTCTTCAAGACTCACAGAATGTGAAAAATTACCCTTTTCCTCCACAAATTCAGCAGATGGAAAGCCAGCTGCACTCAAGAGAACAGATCTAGTAAGAAGGTTTTCAGTGCAGCACCGGTTTTGCATTTCTAAAGCCCAGTGTATTTTTACTTGCCAAAAAAATGAGAGAGAGGTGGTTTTAAAGACAAGAGGTGAAACACAGTAGAAACCAAGAAAAGAACCATAAGACCATGTTGTTCTTCGTGATCCCTACATTCAAACGTGTGGGGGGGGTTAATTTGGGGTTTATTTTTATGTCTCATTTGAACTCTCCTGGAGGGGGAGAAGAGGGAGATGACAACAGTAGGAGCTCCTCAGCAGATGAACATGAGCTCAAAATGTTCCTGTCACTCCAGTGAGCCTGAAGTTGGTTGTATCTGTCAGGAAATAGACTGTTCTGAAGAGCCTTCAGAAGACATTTATGAGCACTACAAAGCTTTGATATTTACCCCTAAGAAGGTTATATTTAAGGCCCTTGATTCTGCAAATAACTCAACATGGGCAATCCCTCCAGTGCTAGTGTGAAGCCCCAGGAGTGCCAGCAGGTCTCTGGGCTCCACTCCCAGGGTCAGGGAATACGGTTTCCCTGTAACTGGACCCTGCATCTCAACCCATGTTTCTAAGGCATCTTATTCTTTTAAGTTCCTGATGCAGACAGCATTTCTCTGGCACCTTCCCTATTCTAATTGCCTCTGACAAGGCACAGTAGTACTGGAATTTATGTAAGGAACATTGCTGCCATAGTACTGCGACTTAAAGATCACTGTAAAGACGGGGGGGGGGGGGGGGGGGGGGCAGAGAGATGTGTTTTTTTCTCTACTTAAAACACAAAGAAAAATTCACTTTAATCACTCACTGAACCTATCCAGGCTTTCTCTGTTACTACTGGAACTCACAACACACTTATATGTAAGAATCAGTCATTAACTGACAGTATCCTGAGGTTTTTTCCCCAGAAAGGTCTCAAGGCAGAATTAGGAGCTGGGAGTCAATTCAAGCCAGTGGTAAAACTCTCATGGAGTCCACTGACAAAGGATCAAACCTTCAAAGTGGGCAGGACATGGAGTACTGAATTAATTTATACATATCACGGGCTTTCAACGTAATTACAAATATTTGGGTAATCAGCCAATGCAAAAGGGTGGGTTTTTCTGACATTGAGGGTTTGGGCTTTCTACTGAGCTCTGAGAAGTCATCTCAGCTCAAATAAAACCAGGTTATTGGCACCCCCAGCATCACTACTCACAGTACTGATACATTACACACGGTCCTTAACTATTGCTGTTTGAGTACTCTGCAGCCATAGCTGTTACGTGCTGGCTACTGAAATACGTAGAGAAACCTTTATAAAACTTGCCTTATGCAGAGCTGATGTGGACAGGAAAGCAACCCAAAATTGGGGTTTTTCCAGTGAATTTGTACAAGATGCAGGTCAACAGCACAGAAATGGGCAAGTCAGGTAAAGGAGTGAAGGAGAAACGCCAAAACATGACAGAGGGGAGTTCACAAGCAAATAATCATAAAGGATTATTTGAAGCTTTCAAACAAAACAAAGAATCATTTAGAAACTAAATCACCCACCTGATGACCCAGTCCCTCTGGGGGGTCGTGACTGAGCACATCCTGAAGCACTCACAAGCCTTTCACCACCATAAGCAAAGAAACTTCATTTTTAGTATTCTCATCACGACTCCACTGACCACATTTTTCACACAATGACTGTGTTTTCTTGTTTTGCCCGAGTTCTCCCATGTCTCACCTTCCTTCCTTTCCCTTTCAGGTTCTACATTGAAAGCATCTCCTATCTAAAGGACAATGCCACCATTGAGCTGTTTTTCTTGAACGCCAAGTCCTGCATCTACAAGGTAAGGATTCGGGAAGCTCTGGGTGTCACCGGGGTTGGCTGAGACACCTGAATCTGCTTTTTCTGCCCCAAAGTTCATGCTGGTTGAACACAGAATTCAAGGTATAACCTCCTCTTCCCTCACTCCTGTCTCCGCACTTAGCATCAGTTTCCACGTCAGAGAGATGTTCTGAGGTAAAACAAGCCTGGAAGTAACCCTTGTGGTTGGCAGGAGGGAATCTGCAGCTGCTAAAATTATAAACTGGCTTGCTCTTAAGAGGAAACGGCTGGGTTTGTGTTAAATGAACCCGCTGCTGAGGCGCAGGGCTCACTTAGGGGCTCCCGCCCGAAGAGGGCGGCAGTGTCTGGGGCGCGGGCGCCATCTTCTGGGCTAGCATGGGGAGGGGGGGGGAGACTGTGAATGTACGTGTGAGTGTGCAAGGGAAAGGTGACAGTGCAGGAGGTGGTGTGAGTGTAGGAATGGGGGTGGGTGCGCGGTGCCGAGTGTGTGAGGGGCGTGGGACTGGATGTGGGACTGTAACTGGGAGTCTGTGCGCCTGTGTCAGGGTGCTCAGGATGCGTATGGCTGTGTGTTTGTGACAGGGTGAGTCAGAGGTTGCGGGAGTTCTTGTAAGAGTCTTCTGATAGCTAAAAGGCTGATAAGAAAGCTGGAGAGGGGCTTTTTACAGGGGTGTGTAGGGATAGGAAGAGGGGGAATGGCTTTAACCTGCCAGAGGGCAGACTGAGATGAGCTCTTAGGCAGAAGTTCTTCCCTGTGAGGGTGCTGGGGCACTGGCACAGGGTGCCCAGAGAAGCTGTGGCTGCTCCATCCCTGGCAGTGTTCAAGGCCAGGTTGGACAGGGCTTGGAGCAACCTGCTCTAGTGGAAGGTGTCCCTGCCCGTGGCAGGGGTTGGAAATGGATGAGCCTTAAGGTTCATTCCAACACAAACCAGTCTGAGATGCTACTATTCTATGCTGGAGTATGTGGCTATATGCATGAGCAGGGGTGAGGGTGTCTGAGGATACATCCTGAAGATCACCTTGTACAGGAGCAAGCCATGCATAGGGAAGTGTTTCTTTGTGCCAGAAATAGCCCTGCCTGGTAGGTGACTGAAAACACCAGTCTGCTGTCACCGACACTACTCAGAGCTGCCCATTGCAAGGCACGTTGTGTTCCAGAGATAAGGGTGTCCTGGCATGGCCTTCACTCCCCCACTGGAGTTCTCATTGCAGAGCTATGAAGCCTCTGATGCTACAAGCACAGGTATAAGTAAAAGAGCAGAGCCCAGTTAATGAAGCAGGCTCAGAACCCGCTGAGGTGCAGATGTGTAGGATGGGGAGAGGCTTCTCATCAGCTGGGATTCCCTGAGAGGATTCCTCCCACCTCCCTCTGTGCAGGCAGAGGCCATTCCTGGTGACTCACCTCCATCTGCCAGGGAGGAAGTGGTAGGAAAAGACAGCTGGAGTGATTGTACCACCATCCCGCAGCCCTCGGCAGGTTTGTGCCATGCTCAGCCAGCTACCTTATACCGAACCTAGAGCCTTGCTTCCTGACATCTGCATGCCCTAAAGTGCAGGGACTAACTTTGCATCAAATGCAGGGTAGGAGTCAGAAAATGCCTTTTTTCCAGTGCCCAGGAAAGAGGCAGGGCTGCTGAGCTGAGCTGTGCAGAGCTTTGCTAGCTGGCAAGGCTGCAATTAGATGTGCTTAGTCAGCCCTCTGCAGCAACAAGCTCAGTGAGCATCCCATTTTGGTTCCTGGGGAAAGTTCCTTTTTGAAGCGTTGCCAGGAAAAGCTTACACTGTTGTTCTTTTTTTGAAGAAAGCTTAATAAGAAGAAAAGGGGAAGGGGAAAAAAAAAAAAAGTGCCTACAGATCTAGATTGGTCTATTTTGGTCTGACCTCTCCTGAAACCATTACTTTGCACATTCAAGCTGACTGTCATCTCTATCCAAAAATAGCCCTGCTGGATTCCCAGTCTCCCATGCGGGTCCTTCCCCATTTGACTTCCAGCCACAGTAAGCCGTGCTGTGCTATTAAAATAGGTGTTGAATTTGGGTGCAAAGTCTCCACTAGGATGCAGGGCGAGCACCCAGTCAGCATTCCTGGAGGATTCCTCTAGGTGTAGAAAGGGGGATTCAGTGCCTAAGCATAGCCATTGCTTATCATCCCTTCAGCTAGCAGTTGGTGTTGCATGCTCCCAAATCTTGAAAGCTTCCTTGCTGCACCAGTTTTCTCATTGGACTTACCATGTATGCCTTCACCCCAGAAAGACCATACTATGTGTGAAATGCGTGGTTCATAATGCTATGCTAGCACTGAAGACATTCCCTGTTAGTTCTTATAACACACAGGATCAAATGTCCCCATGCTCCAGTTGGGAAGGAATAAAGCTGAGGCCTGTTTAGTTTGGGGCTGATGGTCCACTGGGTTGCCAACTGACTCTGCATTGGGTACTCACCACTCCTCCTGTTGTATGATGAGACATTCATGGACCAACACACCCAAACCCCAGCAAGCCACTGTTGCTCAGAGAGGCCAAGCCACATTTGTACTACCAGAGCTTGGCATCAGGCACCATCCCTCAATCACTCAGGCTGTTTAGTTACTAACAAGTTCTGGCACAGGTTTTGGCCTGTGCCAACAAGCCCTGTCCCAGGCATTGCTTGGGCACTGTTCAGGGATGAGCACCTGCTCCCAAGAGGCAACCCAGTGGAGGTAATCCTATCCAGAAATGGGGGAGGGAAGAAGAGTGTTTAGTCATGCACTCCACTGTGCCATGTACCCTTAGGGCTCTGACCCACTTCACCTACTCATATAGACTCGCCATAACATCAACTTGTGGTTGCAGAGGCTGGTTTGTCCATGCAGTGCCTGGTGCTTCAAGACGGGAGGGACACCAGGCACTTTGTCTCTACTCTGTATTGCTCCTTGCCATGGAATATATCTGTCTGCCCCAGCACAGCCCTGCCTCCAGCTGAATCCTCATCTCATGCCATCCACTTCCCTGGGCACATACACATCATTAGTGCAGGTGCCTGCGTGAAGCAGGCAGCTCAGCTGAACAGGGAGGGTGTGTTTATCTCCCACAGCAGAGCTCATTTTCACTCCTCAAGGAGTTGTTATGAAGGAGGTGAAGGAAGTGCTTCTATTAAAAAGATGGCACTGGTGAAAGCCAAGGACACCTGGATCTTATCCTCTGTTTTGTTCCTTTTGTTTTTGATTTTGCCAGAGACAAGCCAACGCAGCGATTGTGGCTTGTAAATGAGGTGTGGCCATGACTTGGCTGGAGCATGGATCATAGCACTCATCTATATTTAGATCACTCGTCTCTTGCCAGATGAAGTAGAATATTAAAAACAGCAGCTTAAATAAATACAACAGAAAAGCCACTACAGAAGCTAGCTGAACAGCTACCCAGTTTACATGGCCAAGTACGTCAGAGCCGACACAGGAGCTCTGGTTGCAGAATAGAGGCCTAAACAGTATCTCTGTAAAAGCCCACTATATTCCCAAAATCAGGGGCCAGAGACTCAGGAACACACACTTGGCCACAAGATTAAAGCTTGTGCCTCCTGTCCCAAGCATCTTGGATGCCAAGTTTGCATCCCATACATTTAGACAGAGCAGTGCTTGGACTCCTTGGTTCTATGACTGCTATCTGAGGCACAGAAGGACACTGAGAAAATCTGATGGGACCAGCAGTGTCCTTCATGGGACTGTGGTGTCCAAGCAGAATGCTCACAATTTCACCTGACCCTCCAAGATTGCTTTCACTGGGAGCTGGATCCTCTAGAATGAAGCAGTAAAGATTTACCAAAAGATTTGCTATCACAGATCATGCTCAAGGCACCTCCAGTCCCAGTGCTCATAGGCATAAAGGGGCTGAAACCAAAGCTCCCATCCTGCAGGAGGAAATATGGCTCTATTTCCTGTGAGTTTACCCTGAGCAAAAGCCAGATGAGTTCTGCAGGGGCTTTGACACAACTCAGTGAAGATAAACTTTCTCATTTCCTTGCTTCTGTGAGCCAAGGGCAATCTGCGTTCCCCTGAAGCATTTGGGGGAGAAAAAGTATATTCCCCAGACTACCCTTCACTACATCACACAAGAAAATTTTTATTACTCTGATCCTCCCCTTCCACCTGCCTTCTCCTCCTTCCTCCCCAGGAATCCCTTCATGCCACATCCAGTTACGCTTCATTTACCATGCCATTACACTGAATACTTTGCTTTTTCCACATCTGAGTGGGCAGGTTCGCCCTCACTTTGGTCTCCAGGAGCACAGGGAATGCTTTGAAGCCCAGCCAGGGGAGCAAGCTGGCACTGCACGCTTCACCATGCAGTAGCCAGGTGGAGATGCACTTCCTTCTAATGGAAGCTCACACTCAACTTCTTTTTCTTTCTTGTTTTCTTCACCTTTCAAGGAACTCATTGAGGTTGACAGTGAAGTGGTGTTTGAACTGGCTGCATACATCTTGCAGGTAGGCACTCGCCTTCTCTCACTTTGTGCTTCCTCATGTTGCATTACATCTTTTGATTTGCCAAATCCCAAATAAGAAACGCAGGGATTCCCCCAACTGCAGAGAAATGTGTCTTTACACTGTTTTCATCATGCATACCGGTGTAAAATGAGGACAGAAGTCTCTCAAACCAAACCTCTGCATGCGTGGAGCACATTCCACTGCCCAACGCTTTGCATACATAAATGTATTTTATGTTTGAGCCGACATAGTTATCCAAGACCCTGAGGTATGATGTAAAGCCAGAGGACATCTAAGTGATGAATGTGCTTTACTAGGTGAAATACATATGGAAAGGGTTCTTCACCAGTGACTTGCATTTGTTTCCCAGTGGAGCTTGGACTTCTTTTGAGCTCCATAGGCTTCTATATACACAATTGTCTGTATTCTCCAATCTGGGCAGAACAGCTTAAAGAGTTTCCAAAGAACTTCTCCAGAAACAAAGAAAAAAATTGCCTTTGAAAGTCCTGCTCTTGAGGAAGAGGGAAAGGGTCAGAGAGCAAATTACCCCCTGCCTTTGGGAAATGCGGTTCCCAAAGAGGAATCTTTTCAGGGTAGCAGAGGTGCTTTTTGTGAAAGCTCTTTTTAAGAGTATGGCTGTGGGAGCAGATCAGAGATAACTGTCGGATGATCCTTGTTCCTCTTTCCTACAGTGTAATTTTAACTTTTGTTTCCCATCAGCCATGAACAGCTCCTATGAGGAGCCATATGAGCAGAGGAGCCATCTCATCAGACTGCACTAATAAATAACAATGCCTTGCTCTTCTATAGCAATTTCCATGTTAAAGAAGCAATTAATACAGAGGGATTTGAATCTTCATTAAATTGTTTTATGCAACAAAAATGGAGCGAGAGAGTCAGGATGGGGGACTCAATTAAAAGCACATTATAGAAATCACATACTGGCTGTTGGGGGAATACACATCAAACAACAGGCTCATTGTGAGAAGCAGCAGTAGTGTTATGAATCTTTGGTCTGCTCATCCTAATGAATAACTGGAGCACTCAGTAATTGTGTACATCTTACTGTTGTTCAGCCAGTTCCAGATCTGCCACTGTACCCCTGTGGCTGTTTCTCGTCACAAACACAGGATGTTACGTGAATTCCTGTAGTAGTTTGATGTGTAACTTAATAGAAATAGTCAAAACAAGCCACACCTCTGCTGTCTGTAGCCAGAAATTTCTACAACCCATGTTTGTAACAGAATCCAAGCAAAACAAGAGGGATCATACTGCATTTTGTTCTACTGCTGACTGTAGCATGTAGGTCAAAGTACTGAACGATGAGGATATACCCAACAAAATTGGGTTTTAAATTCGGTATGCTCATCCCTGTGCAGGCCAGGGCATATCCTCTGAGTTTTGCTCTGTATTGAACTACAGTCATGATATGATCAAGGACTCCTTCTTATGAACCAGAGGAGAGCTTGTCTGCCCTTCAGTTCACTCACAGGGAAATGGGAAGATAGTAAAGAATTGTCAGAACTCAAGTGATTTAGTCTGCAGCCTTATTTCAAGTTGTTGTGTTACCAGAACAAATTAAAGTTCCACCAAAGCTCTGAACTTTACTCCAGCCTCAGGACTGAAGCATCACTGGATGTGGGCTGACAGGTTTTGTGGTTTTACGGGCAGATGTAAAGACAAAAGGCCTGGATGCAAACCCCTGTCCTCTTGGCAGTGGAAACTCACAAATGACATACTTGCACTATGCTTCTGTGTAGCTGATGGCAAATGAGGTGCTTTAGCAGGCATCATATGAAATTCATATTGCCTGTGGGAAATGCAAAATGCACATTATATCTATTGAGGAGGGGACTCACCAGATTTTGAGGGTTCATGCAGTAAGACTCAGGTACTAATCTAGCTGCTGGAGTAGAAGATTACTAGCCCTTTAACATCAGGCTGTGATGCTAATAAATAGAAATATCTAGATATATAAGTAAGGGAGCTGAAAACTCCCCCAAATGCTCAGCAAGGAGTTAGAGAAGCCTGTGTCTGGCATCACCTCAGAATCTGCCAGCATTTGGAAAGTCTGAACACTAGAAAATAACCAGGATAATTATAAAAAGAGTCAGGGGAGTTGCAATTTCAGAAGCTGAAAAGCCATTGGGAGTTCAGAGATCTTCTAGTAGTGTAACAACCACAATGACCCCAAAAATTACTTATTTACCAGCATTATTTCCTGCTATTTCTTGGGTATCCACTAGCAGAATGAGGAATCATCTGGCCCTGTATTAGACAACCCTTTTGTTTGTTAATTTGCCCAGCTCACTACGTGTATGGCACTTGACATTCGAGACTGGTTCCAAAAAGTGCATGAGGATTCAATTACAACAGGAAATTGCTGCTAAATGAATTCTGCAAATGGAAGCTCTTGAGCAGCCATTTTCTTGATTTTCCTTCAGTTTTTAATGCTATGTTGTTAATTTTTCTTCCTCATTTTACAGGAGGCAAAGGGAGACTTTTCAAGGTAAGTGAACTGAAAAGTTTTTGTGTGGTGTGGGAATGAATCTGGTAGAATCACTGTGTGAGCACTGTGACTCAGATGTAGCTGTGTAGTAACAGGAATGCACTGCTAACATAGACGTCATGTTTCCTGCAATCATTTCTTCACAAAACACAGCCTTTGACCAGAGCATGCCTTGCAAACAGCATTGTTTGTGACTTTGTTGTTGACAAATCTCTTTATATGCCCATGAAGTTCAGGAAATAGACTAGTCTTCAGAAGGAAATTCCTAAGGTCTTCAGAAGGAAATTCCTAAGGAAGTGACTCTACAATCACTGCAATATCACAGATCCAGCCAGTGGCAACATTAGAATTCCATCACTAATTGATATTTCGGCTTGAATTTGGACAGAGTTCTCAAAATCACAATTTAGCTAATGGGTTTTGTTGAACTTCCACTATCCCTTGAGCCAAATCTTCAGACTTGCTGTAAGAAATTCAAAGAGGTGACTGTGCTTCATATCTTGAAGATGTTAATGAAAAGCCCAAGAACTTCCGTTGAAGTTAACAGTATCTATCAGTTGCACTTTAGCAGCATCCAAAGATCAGATGGCTGTTTCATACACTGAGTGAGAAATATGGATGTTCTTCATCTGAAACTCAGAACTCCCAATGCTAAAAACATCACATACTTCATATATTACTTTTGCTGACCTGAACATGAGTTCAGCTGGAAGACCACAATATCCACTGAAGTTCGTTTCGGAGAAAACAAGGTGTGGATGGGCAGTGAGCCTGAAGAGGTGTCTTAATATTGTCAGCATTGAGATACACTAACAGAAGACTGTAACAATACTCTGTGCACCGTAGGAGGCTGAAAAGAACAGGCAGGGTCCACTTTCTGGTGGACTGGGACTTCTAGCCAGCTAAAATTGGGACAAATCAGGGAAAAGGAACAATGCATTGCAAATTGTGGAATCTGAGACAACATAAGTTAACCCATCCTAAAAGGAAGTTTAAGTTCTGCTTTATCACTTCTCAAAACCTTAATCAACTTGCAAAATCCTGACATGTATCTGACAGCAGAAACACAAGCCCAGTCTTGCTTCATTTTTCAGTTTCACCCCATTTGGAATAACTCAGTTATCAGCAGTGCTTGTTTAGAGGGGCACTGGAGTGAATGTGGCTCTTTCACTTTACGGTCTGCTTTTCAATGCACTGCCAAGTGCTCAGATCCGAAGAGCCAGACCAAGCAAAGTTTTGCCATTCAGACCTGTGAAAAACCACATCTTCCATGCATTCCATAACATGGTTTTGTTATGAAGGACAATATATAAATGTTTCTCAGAATATCTTGGACATTGCAAAAACACACACAGGTAGTGTATATTCAGAGTCTGAAACTTAGAATAGAAAGGAATCAGGTGGCTTGGAGTCATAGTGCCAAAAGCATTTTATCTTCAAGTATCTTTTTCCAGACCAGAAATGGAAACAGCCAGTGGACAGCATCCATCTCCTAAAAGCTGTTTGATGTTCCTTATAAAATGAATGGTTGAGTTTATCACAGTGTATTTTTCTAGGCCACAGAGAAATGAGGAATCTTCTCTGAGAGCACACAAGATACCTCAACACACAGTGTTAGCTGTTTCCTCCACATCAGTATGGCAGTCATCACCATACCCATTAGAACAGTTAGCTCTTAGTCCTTTGTACCTGTGGATCGCAATGGTTTGAAGTGGAAGGGGAAACCTTTACATCTAGAGAAATGGTGTCATAGTAACAACTTGCTGACACTGCCAGGGATCTTAATATATAAATGGGCTTTGGTGACAAAGCAGTCTGCCATATTAGTGAAGTTTAAAGTCTGTTCTCAAAGGAAGGTAGAAGAACATTACCATGACCCTCCATGGTCTAGAAGAAGACTTAGCATCTCCAGGGATGTGTGCTCAGCAGCTCCCCATTGATGTGCACTGACACGGGTTTATATGCCGGGTGAGGTCCATGTGCTACTGAAGTCACCACGAGGTCATTGTGGTCAAGATTTTGCCTGCTGAGATTTGTGGTTATTCTTATCAGCAGTATGAAATGTGGGAGGCAAATCAAGCCTGGGGCCAGCAAGAGTAACTGCAGATGGAGACAATGCTCTGACTTCTCTTAGGGCTGAAATTAGCTTCAGTGTTTGAAGTTAGTTGATGTTGAAATGCTGTCTAAAACAGAAGTGGCTACTCTTTGAAACAGAGAAGCTCTGCAGTTGCAAATGTCTTGCTGCTGAGATTTAAAGGCAACATGTTGTACATGGCAGCATACATAGTGTGAAGTCTGAACTCTTGAACTCCTGCTTTGGTTTTGAAGAAATCAGTTAATTTTTAGGGGTTGCACACTTGGAATGCAGACTGCACATTTCCCACACCTGTCCTGCCTACTGCCACTATCAGATTTATATAGCCTGTGAGTCTACAAGTTTCCCTTTGGCCTTGATCCAGAAAAGCGCATAAGCACTGGCTCATTGGTAGTGATGGGAGAATTGCTGTTCCTCATGGAAGCCTTCCTGTGAGTCACTGCTGAGCACCTCAGGGGCTGGCATGGCCAATGCCAAATTGTCACAATTTCAGCTGTGGGTTGGCACCTGCCCATGGTGCCAGAGTGGGATTACCTCCAAGCCCCACTGGTGCATCACAAGGAGTTGTTTCAGGACTCCTGAATGCAGTTGCAAGTCTGCTTTTTGGTCTTCACGGGAGTTAAAAAAACAGAGCTGATCTTATTAACTCCAGCAGTCAGTTTTCTGCCTCTGAACTGATGCATGTGCAATGACAGCAGTTCCTACTGCTGCTTATAAGGAAATCATCCCGTGCCTCATAATAATGGTTGTGCTTATAGTACCCCTCTTTCCTTTCCCCAGAAGGGGCTAATGTGCCGTTTCAAACACATGTTCTAAATCCTTTGGTAGGATATCATCATACATGAGTATCTCATCCCTGATTCCTGCCACCTTGGAGTACTATCTAACTCAGACATCACAATGACTTCCCAGTGTTTGGTAAGCCTGGAGAGCACATAGTCTGAGTCAACCTTATTTGTCTTCAGCTAAGATGCCACAATAGCCCTGGCAGATCCATTTGGCACCTAAGAGAACAATTTGACCAAGCTCTTTTACATTTCTAATGTGTGTTTTGTATCAAAACCAAGCCCATCAAAAACCCTAAGCTCCTGAAGCCATTTAGATCAACTAAGAAAAGTATTTCTCAGTGTTTTCTCTAAATGGCCTGATCCAGCACGGTGTTTTGCAAGCAGAACTGTACAAATGGCACCTCCCTCAGTTGATTGATAGAGATATAGGCAGAGTGAGGTTTAAGATAGAAGTTATTCTCCTTAAGAAGTCTTCTGCATTAAAGAAGAGTGGTCTTTCGTGTTATTTAAGAGAATCCCCAGATCCTTCAGCTGAAAAGCTTGGAAAAGGTTTACATTTAGGCTAGAACATACCATTGAATTAAGGGCAATTGAGTATCCCTGTTCAGCTGATACTCAGGTTGAACTGAAGACTGGATCTGTGCTTTTTGATATTAGACTTCAAAGGCACAGAATCACACATATGAATCTCCTAAACTAGTATCTTGCAGACAGATGTAAAGGTTATTAGCTAAAGCTAATCTTGTTTCTAGCTGGGAGCTGAGTCACACTTGGTTGGCAGAGCATGGACAGGACAAATTCCAGTTCCTTAGATGAACACAAATCCTGCAGGTGTGACTCTCTTTAGGCCTATGTAGAGGAAGGAACTAGGGCGCCCTGGCTGATTTTGGGGGAGGCATAGCATATTGTTAAAATAGTTGAGATTATTCCCCTAAATCAATCATACCAGATTTAGAATCCAGTCTGACATGGACTAAAATCCTTGGGAAACTCACACCAACTTTGGTTTACATGTTCAGAATCCAGCTCTTCAACCTTAAACAGCATCTATGTTTAAACAGCTGGGAATAACATCTACTGAACGTTTGTCCCTTGATTTGGGAAGGGGAAATTAACCACCCTAAGTAAAACCAAAAGCTGAACCACTGCAGCTAGTTCCTCAGACAGGCTCTCATTCTTGATTTCTCCAGTTAAGCAATAGGAAACAGTTCAAGTGAACTCCATGTATTCCCCAGCAACATCTGAGAGAATAACAAGGGTGGAAAGCAATGGCTAGTTTCCTGTTCAGCAGAATTTCACAATCATTTCAACATTTGGGCAGATGGTAATCTGACATAGTTTCAGGCTGACTTTTCTTTCTGTGTAACCAAGTGACATTTAACCAGTTGGAACTTATGAAGGGGTTACAAACCCCAGGCTGCTTTCAGCAACCTAATGGAGAAGATCCTAAACATGGTACCATTTAATCTGAGAATCTCAGACTCTCCATTTCCCTTTGCATTCCCCAGAATGAATGACCATGCTGAGAAGAGTCGATAACTTTAACCTGAAGGTTTGTTTTGTTCCTGATCACTGTGCTGAAAAATGTATGGATTTCCTGAAACAGCTGCATATATAATCTTGCTCAAAATCATTGCAGCCAGTTTGCCAAAATCTTGTTTTTCACAAAAAGCTCATGAAGTGCCCGGGTGGATCTTTTACCACCATGTGTAGATAGAAATACTGACATGTGATGACTATTTGGCCAAGACTCGTTAATCAGGCAGTACCAGAACTAAGACCAGCACTCAGGAGTTCTGTTTTCAAGGTCTGTTCTCTAGTCAGTCAACCTTATTTCAGGCTATCTCACCAACTTTCAGGAACCCATGCAGATGGCTTTTCCCGTTCAGTTTTCAAATTGTCATTCAGTCTTTTAAATGCCATAATTTCCACCATAGTGTAGAAATAAAGTGGTCTAGAGGATACAGAGAAAGTGTTTTTGGAATCTTTTCCCTATATATTAATAGATCAGCATCAAAAGCATCCTTCCATATACCCTGGAAGTTGATCACTTTGGAATAGAAAATAAATGCAGCACAAGTGATCTGATTAAACAAGCACTTTCTAAAGACAGTAATAAAATAAACACACTGAGATATTTCACAAGTACAAACCCACTGGTAATCCTGCTGGAAACATTTTAAAAATGAAGGGGTTTGGTGCTTTAGAAGGAGCCAAGAGGAAAGTGGCCACTAGTTCAAATGCAACCTGAATCATTGTTTTCCTCCTTTTCCTTAATTTGACAGCCTTTGGGAAGTCTAAATTCATTTGTCCTGAGCCAATGCTTGCCAGAAGACTGTGCGAATATATGGACCATAGCATGAAATAGGTTTTTGTTCCTGGAGGTGATTACCTGCAATAAATTAGATGTTGTGAGGCACTACCCTTACAGTATTTTCTAGGTACTGAGCAGAAATGCTGATCCCATTCAACAGCATCACTCAGAATGTTTTTTTCTCTCATTCTTAAAAGACTATCGCAGCACAGAAAAGCTTCAGTCCTTGCTGACAGAAAAGACTGACCTGACTGGTGTTACCCCCTTCTTTTATGGGAGCCATTACTAATGCAGGTTTTTCCCAGACTCTCAAGGATAGTTAGCCACCACCAGTCTTGTCCTTTTTGTCAGCTTTCTGCACTCAGAAAGCCCCTGTTTGGAAATTAGTGTTTTCCCACAAGAGATTTGGAAATGTCTCAACTTCCTTCTATGAGCATCCAGCCCCAAAAGCATCTCCACTTGAGGGCAGGGGCTGCTGCTTGTGCTCTGATTGTGCTGGGTTCTGTGTTTTATTCCCCCAGTCTCTTTTAAACTGTCAATAAAATCAGTAAGAGCTGAGTGTGCACATGCTGTGGAGGAGCTTTCCCTGGGCAGACCCAGTAAACTCTGCAAACAGCAACAGCTTGTTGTCTAGGCTGTCAGTCACAGAACACAGCACCCAGATCATCAGATAACATGGAACAGAGCAGCTTCTTGTTCAGACTTGTGCAGATATTTACCTGCCATGGAAGAAAAAACCTGAACAGGTTTTGAGCATTTGCACTTACAAAGGAAGACCTATCTGGTGGTCAAATGACCATGGGATTTAGGCAGGAGTGGGTGTTCAAACACTCTTTGTCTGAAGACATTTGACTCAGCGTAAGAGGTGCTGCTGAGTGGTTTTCTATGGGCTTAGCCTAGAAACGATTGCCTCAGTCATTTCTTGTGGGTGCTGCTCTACACATCTTCACTCTGCTGCGTTTGAATCTAGCTGAGACTTGGGCACCTCTGTCATAGATTTGCCTTGATTAGAAGTTGTGATCCTGGTTTAAAACTACTTAATTTGTTGTCAGAGAACTACCATGATAATAAAAGCCTGTGGACAGCCAAAATGCCAGCTCCAGGATTTATGGCAGTGGTTGACCCTATGGCTCAACCTAGCAATTAACCCGCAAACTCCAGTTTAGTCAAACCCACCTAGGTTCTTACTAGGTTGTGCTGGGATTTGCTGCTAGGATGTGCAAATAGGGGGATGCTGTAGGAAGATTTTTACAACTGAAGCAGTATCACATCTCTACAAGCTGTCATATAGACTGTCCCAGAGAAAAGAGCAAAACTCAGGGTGACTTGGAACATTCAAGGGCTCCTTGGGCCTTTCACAGATGTAGTATGCCTGGTTAGGATGCCAAGACTACCTGTCTGCCTGGTTATGGCCCTGCTGCCCTGCAGGAGAAGCTAGAGCCTGGGAAATCTGGAGCTCTGTAAGAGGCATCTCCGTCCACAGCTCCAGGCTAACCACCCTTTTTGGCAGGATAAAGAACAGGATACATGAAGGCAGAAAAAAACACTTGCTATTAAGAAGTAAGCCAATAAACAGTAATTCTTTGGTACTCCTCAGTGTCCTGTCTGGCCCTCTTGGCTGTGTATTTCTACAGCTTTCAAAGTAACAGCAACACCGCCTTCCTTCCCAGGCTTTTCAGGGATTTTTTTTCATGCACACACATTTCCTTATGTGGTTAGAGACAACCCATGGTTTCCTTTCTTCTGGGAGAATCTGCCTCCCATTTCATGAGCAATCCCTACTCTCTCATGTGCATTGAGACTGCTCCAGATGACCAGTGCAGCCACCAGAGGCTGGTGGAGTGGTTGCGCCTGGTCCCACATAGGGCTTTGTGTAGCAGGACACAAATTAAAGCTGGAGCCTTATCAGTGAAGTTCATGTCGTGGAGGCAAGGGGCTAAGAATAACCTCTGATGCTTAAAAGGCAAATCATTACTGTTTGCAGCAGGTTGGAAGGCATTAAATTAAGGTGCTTTATTGCAGATGAAAGCATCGCTTGTGCTTCTCTTCACCTTGTTTTTTCTGTGTATGAAGATGTCCATAGGACCCTGCTCAATGACATGTGACATGGTGGCTTTTGTGTCCAGTCACTGATAGGAAGCACTTCAACATAACCATCTGGGAGAGCTTCTCTCTAATTCTGATAACAGAGGGAGAAGTTAACTGGGCTGCCATAAAACAAATAAAGAGAGAAGAAAAAGGAAACCCCAGTGCCTTTTGTTAAGGAGGACCAGATGTAGGGCTGTAGCAGCCTGCCAGCTAGGTCAGGTCATATCAAATATTGTGGTTGTTTTCTTGTAGCCTGATCCTCCTTTTGAACTCTCTTTCAGCAATGAAGTTGTAAGGAATGAATTAAAGAAGCTGCCAGCGCTTCCAACACCAGCACTGAAGGAGCATCCCTCCCTTGCTTACTGGTAACGTATCATGCTGCTGAATGGCTTTTTCAGTGTCTTATGCTGTTCTGGCCCTGGTAAGAAGTGATCTGAGAGTAGAAATGGGATGCAAGGATTCCTGCCTTCTAGCTCTGAGTCTGACACTGACTCATTGCATGATTCAACACAAGCAGAGCTCCCACCCTAGGCCTCAGTTTCCCCATCTGCCAAATGGCTGCAGAAATATCCGTCCAGAATATTCGTTCTAAACATGTAAGTGTCCTGATGAAATCAAGAGGCTTAATGTGCTATTTCCTTTCCCAACACTTTGCATCTGTGCAAAGAGTTTCCCCAGTTTGAAATATCAATGCTTTGCACTGCTCTGTGCTATTGTTGAGTAACTGAGTTTCATCTTGCAAGTATCTCTGTATGGCATAGCTGAACTAAAAGGGATTTATTTCTCCTTTTATACGAATGAGGTGATGTTTGGAGGTGGATGCTTGGGAGTTCTGTCTTTATTACACTGAAAATTAAACCCAGGGTAAGAGCAGGGTCACAATTAAGTTTGGGATGCCCCACACATAGATTCTTTGTGCCGCCCTACCTATGACTTTTATCTGTGCAAATAGGAAAGAATTTGGGGAAAGACTTCATTAATGGGGAGATGCTTTCACTTGATTTTCTGCTTGTTCCTCTTTCATGTCTCCCTTTAAAGTATTAGGCTATAAGCCTGGGGGTGGGAGTGAACTTCTTTATCTGTTACTCTTAATTTCTGCATCTTGGAAATCTGAGGATGGCAAGGGGAAACAAATCCATTTCTAGTTTATGATCTCAATTCTTCCCTTTGCCAGGAATGCCATCCGCTTTTCCTAGCATGGCTACAATACCAGAATTAGCTGTACCTCGTGTCAAGCTGTAGGCAAGCTGGGCTGTGAGGTCTCCAAATCACTTTCTGAGCACATCAGGAGATACTCAGGGTCCCCAGCTGAGTTTAGGAACACTGACACAAAAGCTGTGGATCATCACAGTCTTCTGGTGTTTCTGTTTAAGAAACAAACCAAATCTTTATGAAAAATTGATAAATGCAGGCTACCATTTCACTGGAAGAAGAATGGGCTCCCTCTTCAGAGCACTGCTTTCCTTCTTCCACAAACAAATCCACACACTGACAAGCAGTATACTTCCAGCCTGGTCTGATTGATACACTGGTAGCTCCTGCTAAAAAGCACCTCAGGAGGAGAGGTGGGAACAAATAGCCATGGGCAGGGAAGGCAAATCTGACCCTTCAGCAGCAACATGGACTTGAGGTGCCTGCCCCCAGTGCTGGCAAGTGTTAGTCAACATGCCAACGTTATGGACTTCTGATGGAAATCTCAGTGAGGTCTGGGACTGTCTCTGCCTGTAGGACAGTCTCCTTGGGCTTTGTCTCCACTGAGTCACATGAAGCAAGAAGGGCTGTGTAAAACCTCATGCTGAGAATGTATATACAGCACACAAGGTACAGCACTTCTTGCAGCTGTACTTCATGTTGTGGCAGTTCTTATATGACTGAGGAGAGGTCGCAAGTTGGGAAGCTGGTTGTTGCCAATGGGGTAATAAAACTAGTGGCTACATCCTGTGATTCCCTTGTGATTTCACTTCAGTAACCAGGTCTGAGACCTCCTATGCGTCAGTAGTTCATTACCTTTTAATGGTGGCTTTTTCATAAATACCCTCTGAAACACCGAATGCTCTCAAGACTAGGCTGATGGTGAATCAGACAAAGCCTCTAAAGTACAGATAGACCTTCAATGATCTAAGAGGACAGGTTTTTAGAACTGTGTATAGAACATACTCTGTACCAATTCATCCTGTTCAAATTTCATCCTGCTCTTTTCTGTGTGCAATCTGTTTCATGCTGCAGTTCTTCAGCATTATCTCAAGGCAGTGACAAGTGAATTTCCAACTCCGGAAAGAAACATATAAAACATTAGGGATGGGATGGCTCTAGTTAAAAATAAACAACCAAAAGAGCTCTGTCCTATATTTGTTTCAGCTAAAATGGACTAAAAGGCAGGTGATAAAATGGATAATCAAATAAATACTGTGATAGATCTGCAGGAAATAATACAGCACTTCCATCATACACTGTTAAAAAGTTGTTCCTATCAAACACAGTAAGACCAGTGGGATGAGTCCTGGATTCTTAGATGCAGCAAGGGCTGAATCAGCCCAGGTTGATGCCTCCAGCTCCACCTTCATTGAGTCTTCTGTTTGTGTACTCTTGCTGCAAGCCTTACCCTCCACTGTAACTCCTTCTTGGATGACTGTAGACTTCACAACAAAGTGGAAGGTTGTAATTTTCATATTAAGTTGCCGTTTCCAGCTTTTCACAGATTAAGAAGAATCAGATGCTTGTTCTCAGGAATCTCTTAGCATCACTGATTACTGGTGAAGCAAGAAGGGGCTTTTTGCTGGGTTGGTTTGTTAGGGTTTTTTCCTTGTAAATGAAAACTGAGCTTCTGGTCCTCCCACACAGTCCAGAAGCCAGGGCCCTGAGCTGTGATTTCTCTTGCCATGCATGGAAACAACTGACAGTGTTTATTGTTTTAGACACAAAACTAAACAGAGAGACTGGAGAGAACCTTTAGAAACTGTGTTAACACACAGTGCTCCTTTCCAGCCACTGTCATTCCATTTTATCTCAATTCAGATCCTCTCCAGCAAGACAGCCCAGTAGTAGGTTGTCAGTAAGGCAAGGAGGAGATGCAATAGTGCAGATGGAATTTTCAACAGACCAGGGGGAAGATAGACCTCTCCCAGCTCCCAGCAGACTTTGAATGCAAGCTTAGTTTTAGCAACCTAAAGCATCAGCATTGACAGAAAATCCACTCTGAAAATCAATCTTTAGTTTCACTAACACAACACAGACCTGGGCTTGGTCCCTTTGGCCCAAGAGATGTTCTGCTGGCTTCAGTGCGACAGCGTATGACTGCAGATGAAGACTTTAGTAAGTTCATGAATATAATCAAAATGGAAAAATCAGGTTAGAAACAAAACAGCAGTAAGGAGCAGCAATGAGTAGACAGCTACTTAAAACAGCTCAGTGTGCTGGAAAGAGAGAGGGGGAAACTATTATGTTTGAAAGTCTGGATCTTACAATGAGAAACTCTGGCCCTGCAATTGCTTGCAATTTGTCTGCTGTCCAGTTCTGTAAGCTGCTGGGGCAGGAGGGATTTCTTGGTGGCTGTAGAGATCTCTATCCAAGCTGTCTGCTGCAGGATATCATCCATCTATTAATTTGTGCAGTGCTAGAGGGAATGTTTTATGAGCTGGCAGACAGATGGTAGTGCTCCAGCAGCCTCCGTGTCTCCACATTAGGTAAGCATCCTTTGTCAGCCCGGTGCTATGAATGAGTTTCTGTGTCACTGCTGCAGCAACAAGGCAGAGCAGGGGGAGAGGAGACGTCAGCTGGTGGTCCAGGGGTGTCCCAGCCCTCCCCCAGCTGTCAGTAGCAGCATGGCAGCCGCTCGGAGATTAACAGCTGAAGTGACAGGGGACAACCTCCATAAGCTCTGCAAATGCTCCTCTGCCCCATGAATGGTTTTGCTTGTTTTCACTGGCACATGCCAGGCTCACCTCTGTGTCCCAGAGCTGGAGGCAGAAAGTGATCTCTGTGCTGGATGATCCTTCTTGCACAGGGCAGGGGGAATGGAAATGAAGTTCAAAGAACTGTTAGAGCAGTGACTGTCACACAGCTGATGTGGGATTCTTTTCATCAGGGACTGTAGCGGTAGGACAAGGGGTGATGGGTTAAAACTTAAACAGGGGAAGTTCATGTTAGATATAATGAAGAAGTCTTTTACTGTGAGGGTGGTGAGGCACTGGAGCAGGTTGCCCAAAGAAGTGGTAAATGCTCCATCCCTGGCAGCTTTCAAGGCCAGAGCCTTGGGCAACATGGTCTAGTGTGAAGAGGCCCTGCACATGGCAGGGGATTGGAACTGGATGATCTTAAGGTCCTTTCCAAACCAAACCATTCCATGATTCTATGATTCATCTGACCAGGAATGTTTTCTCAGTGTAGACCTCTCCATCTGAGCTAGGCACCCTCATCTCCCTTTACTGTCAGTGGAGAGAAGCAACAGTAACCTCCTCCCAAGGAAGCCACCTGAAATAGATTGGATAAATTGTGCTCAGGAGTACCTGTTTCTGTCCCTAAAGTGTGGCCAGCCCAGTGTTCTAGAAAGGTGAAAGGCAGCATATCCTTAAATATTGGTGGCTTGATTGATAAACTTTATTTGTCCAAAGAAAGAAGAAACAAGGATGTTTCTTATCTGCTATTTAACATCTGTAGACCTTAAAATTTTATACAATGGCAAGGAAGATCATCAGTATCCTAACAGAGCAATGGAAGCATAGGGTTGCCTGCATTTGTTTAGGAGAACTGGGTAGAACCTGAACTATCCCACGTCTTCTAATATGGGTTGAGAACACAACTTCTTTCATCCCACTGTTCAGGAAGCATCCCTGACATCTCATGTGTCCTTTGAAAGAAAGGGGCCATCGACTGGCTTCCCTACCCAAGGGATATGGTCTGGGAACATATCCATCAGTTTATAAGAATCATTTTTAAGGAAGCAGCACATCTGGAATCACATCAGATAATCAGCATGTAGGAGCATCTATCCTTTTCTTGAATGGCATCAATATTAGAGCTTGATCTGTACAATAAATGCACAGAGTGGAAACCAAAGTTATGAGCATTTTCCACTGGAGAAACTCCATTGTTTTCTGAGAAGCCACTCCTGACTTGTTCCTGTCTGAGACAGAGGAATTGAATCCACATGTAATCGTGTTTTTAAGAGGTAATTTCAAAGGGCTGTAAGCCCTCTCTGTCTATCTTTTTTATTAAGAATGATGTATTTTGGAGATCTTCCAGTACTGAACACTCATGTAATTCAGTTATTGCTCCAAAAGTAATCCTGTTTATGATAATCATGGCAGGAGACCCAAGCTCTGCCTTCATGTGCACGCCCATAACATCTGTAGTACTTGCTTGGATGAGTGGTCTGAATATGGTTTCATAGCTGTTGAATTTACAGCTTACAGACCATTTCCTAAGCATTAAAATTATACTGAGGGGTATGATGGGAGAGCTGGACCATTCCTTTCCCCAAGTAATTTGTCACTGACTCAGGCACCACCATGTACCTATTGTGGCCTGCTGGTGGGACATCACCTTACCCCCAGAAAAGCCTTTTATTTTTGCAGGATGACTGGGGAAAGTCACTTGGTGAGTAAGGACAACAGTTACTATCAGGCAAATGGCAGGCTTGTTGGGGAACAGTTTGCTCTGCTGACAATGCAACAGACTATCTACTTTGAATTGCTCTGTGCTGTCTACACTGAGGTTTCTGGTCCTCTCCCTGCATCACCAGGGATGGATGCATGGTCTTCACCTCCCCTGTGTCAGGCCCCACATGAGCACATCTTGTTTGTCACCTCACAATGCAGTTTGTCCTCCTTGTGATGCCACAGAACAGAACATCCTGTGTGTGATTTCACAGCAGGCTCTGTGTGGCCTCTACCTGTAACATCCCTGAGGGCATTATGAAGGCTGTGCCCAGCAGAGGAAGGGAAATTTCCTTGTAAAAGAAATTCTGGCTCCACACAGATCTCTCTGGCACAAAGATGCACACGGGGAAGGCAGCAATGAGCACACACAGCCATGTTAGCAGGGCTAGTGAAACACTTTGCAGTTTGCCACAAAAGTCCCCATAGGCATCTCTGAGCAGTCTCAGTGAGGTCATCCACCAGACCACCCCACACTCCTCTGCTTCTTCACACTGTCTAGCAACAAAAACAGCTTCAGTTTTGCCTGGGGAAGGAATAACCACATGGTGGACATCCATGTGGCTGCCTTTAAAGGCCCATTAAGGGGGTCCAGCTGGACCTAGGAAATGAAGGGAGGGAGGAATGCCAGTTCACATTGGGCTAAACCACATGAAGCATGATGGCATTAGACAGACACTTGGGACTACTGGAAGCTTATGCTGTGCCAGGTGGGGAGGGCACAAATGTGGCATAAAGGTAGTTTAAGTTTCCTTCCTCTTGGACTGGCAAAGTCTGTACAGTATCTCTAGGGGTACTCAACAGATTTCCCATCCTTGGTGTTACAACATAGAGAGCAAGAGATTGGGTTTAAACCTGAGGACTTGAGTATTCTGTCATGCCAGTGTAACTGAGCTAGCCCTGTGGGCATTACATTGCTGGGAGTTAGAGTAGAACCAAAATCAGACCAGTCTGAAAGTACCAGGCCTGGAGGCTGCAGTGACTTGCATGGCTGAAGAGAGGAACATGATTGAAATCAGAGAGCACTGTGAACCTTCAAAAGGAGATCCTTGGCTTTTAGTGTGACCTTGCTGTACAGCTTATCTTATGCATCAGATAGGTCTGTCCCCATTCTCTCCTGCTACCCATTTACTGGAGAAGAAGGAATGAGGTTCTTTAAAAATGAACTTACACATGTCTCTTAGTCTTTTATTTTGGGTCATGCTGATCTGCTCTTGGATGCTGCATCTCTACCGTGTATAGGCAAATGTCTCAACATGCATTTATCAAACACCCCCAGAACTGTTCTCTGACACAGAGGCCCACTGGTGTGGAACAGGCTCCATCTATATCTTAATATAGATGTCTTTGTCTCTAAAGCAGTGTTAATAACAAACCCTGGACCATGCTAATTCCCAATACATACCCAGGAGTTGCCTAGGGGAATGCAAATTAGTACAACCCAAAAGTAAGCACAGGCACATTAGTACTTTATCAGTACAGGGACCCAAGTTTGAGTGCCTTGGAAACATTTCCTGCCACTGTGTAACCTGCTGGTACAGACATTGCCCCTGTGGACACTAGGAATTCAAATCCTTGCTGAGAGATTGCTCCAGAGTACTTCCACTGGTGTTCCTGTACATGGTTTTGTGCAGTTGCAGTTGGAACTAATCTGTGAGGCCTAGGGATGTTCCTGGCCAGCAGTTTCTGAAAGCTTTGCTGGCTTTCAGATAATGTGGTGGGCTTGGAAAGAAGTTGCACCAGTCAGGACAAAGCAGAGCTTGAGCAGTTCCAGCACAAATCTGTTTGTCACACAATGTAATATCATGGACATCATATGTAGGTAAGGAAAGTGATGCACAGAGGGGAAAGTCTGTACAAGAAGATAATGTGTTTGTGAGTAAAAAAGGGTTCTTCAGAAAACCAGCTCTTAGAAAAACACTTTTATTGTCAGTCTACGAGTCCCCCTTGTTTACCCTGGGCTGCATCAAGTCCCCTTCTCTAACACTTTTGCTTGGCATCTTTTGATTCCCTCTGTCGGTAGCTATATTAACAGAAGTATCTCTACATTTCTGGCAAGATTCTTAGTCTGCCACTATATAAAACATCTCATTTCTTCCTTTCCAGTGAGGATCGAGTCATTGAACATTACAAGAAACTAAATGGACAGACAAGAGGTCAAGCAATTGTGAAGTAAGTGAAATAAGAGTGACTTCTTTGTTTTACCAGGATATACTTATACAGGGCTGTAAATACAATATGTAACCATGTCTCCCATCTCATTAATGCTTTATTTGATGTATTTCTATCCTTTATTTATTTTTAATATTTTTTTTTTAATTTATTAATTTAATTAATTTATTACAGCATTTTTCAGAACATCCTCTCAGTTCCTCAGACATGTTATTCTCTTGTGTTGTTTTGCAGCTACATGAGCATTGTAGAATCCCTCCCAACGTATGGAGTGCATTATTACGCAGTAAAGGTACGTGACACAAAAAGGGTCATTTATTGAATTAAACTGTTGTTGGAGGGAGGTACAAATAACAATCCTGCTTTCAGAATACAATACGTTGCTACTAAAGTCTTGTTTCACTTCCTGTGGTAGGATAAACTTATTTCAACTGTGTAGTGAATGTTTGGTAAATACAGCTCCAAAGAGGAAAATCCTGTTCTTGGAGATAAAAACTCCTGTAGTCCTATTGTGCTGGACTTACTCAGACCACAGGTAGCAGCAAGATCTGGGGATACCAGTGAACCAGCACCAACATCACTGGTGCCAGGTCACTGGCAAACTCAATGCTTCACTCTTTTGTAGTTCCAGGAGGTCACGTCTCTCCCAGCTGGCAGATCCATGAGCAACTAAGGCCAGCCATGACCTGCAGCTCCCTTCACTTGAGATATAGGTAGATGGATACAGATATAGTAAATCTTTTTAATGCCAAATCATTGTCCCATACTCTTAAAGATAATACATGCCCTCCCCAAACAGCTTTCTGCTTCTAACTATGTAGATTTAATGCAGGTATTCATGGAATCTCTCTTTTGTCTAATGATTTATCACCAGATCTTCCAGTCTCATATAATTATTATTACTTCCCAGCTGAGTAAGGCTGTTTGTTAGTTTTTTTTAAGTAGAGAAATCAATAAACATATAAATCAAGCTAGATCCACTCCCCAGAGCATATTCCCTCATCTATCACCCCTGAAGTTTTGATGTGTTTCATCGTTCTCTCTCTGCACAGACTATACAGCTTTTCATACATCTGTAATGTGTTGAACACATGGAGTACCATAAAAACACAAATATCTGACAGTACCTGAGTCATTTTTAGTCTATTCCTGCTAATGTGTATCGCATTTTGTGAAAAGCATTAGCCTCGTCTTTTGCCAGAGGTCAGGATCCCTCCCGTTCCCTTTGCATCCAGATCTCTTGGACTACTCTAGATCAAGAAAAAAATGGTGGATTGGGCTGGGTGTTCAAGCCTGCAAACAACTGAGAGCTATTCCAGTGAACTCCCCATGATCAGTAGGTACCAGTGAGCAGCAATGAGGCAGCAAACATTGCCCATAATAGGTTTGGCTCTGACTGATGTGGAGGTTTTAGTTCTGCTGCATTTTACCCCACTATTCTCTATCACATTAACAGAACAAATGTAATTTAATTGAGGACTCCAGTTCAGTAAATTGCAAAAAGGCTGGTATCAGATATCAGCCATTACTCCATAAGGTCATTTTATTGAACACTCAGCCACAAAGCAGTTGAGTCCAAGCCTGTCAGACCTTATCACTTGGTAGCTCTCAGATCCCATTACTGCTGCATTTTCAAGATTCATGCTAAGATCCCTCCACATAATTCAAGTCAGATGGGTGTTTTGCTTTCCTTTCTCTCCCATCTGAGTGTTCAAAGTGAATAATTTACAGGGAAGAGAAAGAGTATGCACCACAGCACAAGGGACCCATGTCAAATCTCTCTACCTCCCTCAGCATCATTTTGAGTACCCTGGTCACATCTGATGCATTTTAAGTGGTTTTATATATATATATATGATGGCTAAAACTGAAACAGATCTCTCCTAAACACCAGGGAGCTTTGTGACTTGAAGAAATTCAGCAGGGATAAATATAACAGCAGTAGAGATATTGCTTAAAAACAAGTCCTCACCTTGAATGACAACCTAGGAAATCTCCAGCATTTCCCCATCCCATTCAATATAGCTCCCTCTGTTCTTTCTTCCAGGACAAGCAGGGAATTCCTTGGTGGTTAGGACTTAGCTACAAGGGGATTTTTCAATATGACTACCATGATAAAGTGAAACCAAGAAAGGTAAGTGTTTACTTTTCTATCAAGGTCTGGGCTTGCCACACATGTTATAGCTCAATTTGAGGGTGTGATGTACAAATGTTGGCACTGATTCATGCGATTTTGAAGGATGTTGATTTTCTCCCAGACTTGCCTGAATGTCAGCAAAGAATTAATGGACAAAAGTAGCTCTTCATTTATCAAATGATATGGTATGGGGGTAAATAAATGTCACTTAATCTTGCAACTTACATTTCTTTCTTGACTGACTCTCTCAGGTGCTGGAGGCTTTCCATCCACTGCCTGTGGTGGGATTGATAGTGCTCAGCTAACCCTTGATAGTGTATTTTCAAGCCAATGATCTGAGAGAGAGAAAAAGAGACAGGAAGGACTTTTCCTTTTTAAAAAAATGGCATTTTTTTCCCCAGGAGCAGCATTACATTTGATAAGCAACAGTTTTATTAACTGAAGAGTTAATGTCAAGCTAGCAGGGAAAGATGACTTTGACCATATACCTAACAAAAAGGCATGAAAAGGTTTGTGCACAGTATCTAATTTGTTTAGGAATTTTCCTTTTAAATAGCTCACAAATCCAAGCATGGCATGCACAGATCTGATTACAAACACAGGGCTTGGTCAGTGATGCCATGTCAGCCTGGTCTCGTTATTCCTATTTTCAGTGAAGCTTTCAGTGCATCTGAAAATCAGAATTTCTCCCAGTCCTTCCAAATTGCCTTTGAGAAATCCAGCTAAGGAATGTCTTTTTCATTTGGGAGGAGGAATGTTTTGATCCTCTGAGCTCATCCTACCCATGTGTTGTGATTTTCCTACCTAGGATGCCATCTAATATAGAAAGAGCTCCTCTCTGAGCACATGCCCTGTAGGTGGGCATGCACAATCTGTTTGCAACAGAATTTGTTGTACTGCAAACCCATGGAGATATCAGGAGGCAAGGTTTCAGGCTTGCTTGCAGGCTACAGAACTGAATGATTGGGAGCAACTAGGCAGCAATTCTATGGATGCAAATGCTTCCACACTGAATTTATGTACTGCATTTCTCTGCATTGCCTCTGTGCCAATATCCCTCCTCCCTTTCTTTCACCTTCTCTGATCACATTCAAGTTGGACACTGCCTGGTGCTCACAGGTAGCATCTTATATTAAAATATATTAGAATCAAGGTTTTGGTAGAAAACAACTGCTAAGGAGACAGCCGGAAACAATAGGTGTATAGATTAGCCTTTTATTCAATGAAAGCTATTTATTCATTGAATGAAGGGACAAGGAGGGTAAGGAGGTCTTCACAGAGTATCTGTGCTCTAAAAGACACACCTATTTGGGATCAATCATTGCCTGCAGGGCAAGCCATACTCACACACGATAGTTTCAGACATGCCCAGGCGAGGTGTTTGCACCCACATATCTCCATTAGTGCCAACACCCCAGGGAAGACATGTCCTTAAAAGATGCCTTCAGAAGTCAAGTCTTAGTAATAGAAACATTTCTGTGGAGGAAAATAATGCCCTGCCATGACAGGACTCAGCCATTCACAAGCTAGAGTCATTTTTATCAACCCTGATGGGATTAAGAGGTTGATGGAGAGCACCAGAAGAAAGAAGAGGTCAGGTACTCTGACTGTATGACATGAGACAGGCATTTCCAATAGAAGACTCAAGCCTTCTTTTCAGCTTCTCTATTTTATCTTCCTCTTAGCCACTTGGGGTGATCATAGCATAGGTTTTACAGCTTGATAACATTTTGGCCTGTCTCTGTGTCCCCATAACTTACCTCTAGCTTTCACACTGTCCCTCAAATCAGGGGCTATAGCATCTCCTACCCTTTTTCTGTAAGTGTAATCCTAAAAAATTGTAGTTTTTCTCTTTATGGGGAGAAAATGATGTATGAAATCCAGGAGACCCAAACCAGTGGTGCCACCTTATGTATAAACCACTGAGAAATTCTGTGGCTTAGCAGTAGTGGTCATAAATCTTGGAGGGAAGGTTGTGTGGAAAGGGAAAGCAGGAATTTCCGGGCTTGAATTTGTCCATTGCCATAATCCAGAGACCACAGCAGTGAAAAGACAGCCTAAATGAGCATTTCTCTGTTACATGATGCTTGCAAACCCCATCTGTTGGCAGGGCTATTCCAAAATGTGCAGCCTAAATCAAGGAGAAAACTTGCATAGAGTGACTGAAACTTCATTATTTCTTCATGGAGTGCTTATACCCTCTGCAGAGCAAATAAAAAGGCTTCTTACCCTACACAGGTGGTAAAACCCCTCGGGCAAGAGCAGCTCAGCTGCCTCAGCAAGGCACAAGGTTTAATCCTCTGCTAATTAGATTGTAAAATAGCACTTGCCATCCCTGCTATCTGGGAGTTTACCATAGTACCTTCATTTCACTACACCAGCATGGGCTGGTTCTAGCCTTTGCTGTGCAAAGCGGAGGGGTAAACCTTACTGAACTTTCTGAAAGCTCAAATGGGGAGGGGATGGAGATTATGTCTCCTCTGATCTTTATTATGGTGTTCCTGCATATTGCCAATGCCAGAAATAAATTGAAAAATTACAATGGAAAAAATCAATCTCCTTGGAAGAAACACAAGCAGAAAATTGTAGCAAGAAACCAACCTAAACCAAGATATATTTACATTAAATGCATATAAAAACCTTGCTTGTTTCACAAAGAAGTTTGTAATGTTTTCCTATATGTCATCCTAGATAGATTTCCATGCTTGCTGTGTTTGCAAAGAAAGCTGTAACCCACACTAAGCAGCTGAGTCAATCCCATTAGCAGTCAGTCAAAACCATGGTTTATTCAATTGCTGGAGTAAATCAGCCATGTGTCTCTAGATACTTAACTAGGTTTGTCAGCAAGTTGGATGAGTCCAGAGAGGAGAATTGAGGCTGACACAAGGCCAGAACCTGATCTTGCTTGCGCTGTTCTCACTCAGGCAGAAGTCCTCCAGCATTACAAGGGATGCAGCTGAGATGGGGATCTGGCACCAAGTCTGAGGTGGTTCAGATGGGAATGTAGGGCTATTAAACTGGAATGCAGCTTGTGATGGGGTGCAGAGCCTAATATGGCTCAATGCTTCTACTTTTCTGTTCCTCCTGCCTGTGCTTGAATTCCATGGAAGCCCTGGAGCTACCAAAAGCCATCACTTTGAAGCTTATCATTCTCTCTTCCATATGTTCAGGGGCTAGCTCACAGACTCAGCAAGCCCTGCCAAAGGCTTCCTTTTGCATGTTGCCTGTTTGAACCCAGATACTGTCCATATCACTTATGATCTGATAGATGTTCATTCTTAGGTATTAAATAAATGCAAGAGTTTGGGTATACTCCACAAAATCCACCACTGCAGCTGAACAAGAAGAAAGGAGTGTCAAGTGAGGAAGGATGGCTGCTGTCCTGCTAACCATATTCTGAGGCATTCTGGAAGTTCAGTAGTAGCTTGTAGAACCAGTGTCATTTGTGTAGAATCAGAACACAGCACCCAGATGGGTAGAATCCATCTCCCTCTCTGTTAAACAGAGCTTCTACAAACTCCTCCCTGTGAAAAGGCCCTTCAAGTCTTGGCATGCCTTGAAAAGCCCACCAAAAAGGAGTTATCTTGCTGGGCTCTACCCACCTTGGATCAGCACTATCCAATATTCATGGTAAACCAAAGCAAAATCTTTGGAACCTGGTCTCAGAGAGGATGTGCCAGCACCACTCTCCCAAAAGCCACTGAGGCTGCAGTGAACAAACCCATCATTCTCAGTGAAGGGTCATTTGGGGTTTGTTTTGGAATTGCAATTGGAGAGCAATTGGAAAGAAAGAGCAAGGAACAGCAGCCCCCTGAGTGGTTCTATTGTCTGTGAGTGATGGCTGCTCATTTTAACCAGCAGGTAGGGATGTAACTCCACTCCATCCCTAGAGATGGAGTGCATGCAGTAGAAGCAGCATAGCCGGGAGCTGTGAGACCTGCATGCCCAAGCAGTTGTAGTAGCACCAGGCAAATCTCTGTCGTTCTAGTGAGATATTCCTACTGATTTAAGAGCCCAAAGGCATCTTTTAGTGCACACAGCTTAACAGTTAGTAAACAATTCACTCCAAGCTGAAGAGTGAATGATTAACAAAGGCAGCCAAAGGACTTCCATATGGCCAATAAACACACAGAGAAAATGTTTAACTTGTCACCAGAAATAAAATCACCTTAAAGTGGAGTCTGATAGTGTTTGTTTGCTTTGCAAGAAATACCCATTTTCTTTACAGAGGGCTAGTGGCAATGAAACTTAAGATGAGCCTTTTTTCTCAGGCTCATACACATGATCAGTGTTCCCATTGTCTGGGTGACTGAACAGAACCCAAGGGGAATAAAGACTTTTGGAAATAAGATATCCCAAAATTCAGCTGTGAATGTGGCTTGACAAAGATTCTTCCTATGACAGCCAAACATCAGTTTCTGCCATTTTTTCCCAGTGTTATCCTTTCTCTGAGATGAAATGAAGCATGTTATGAAAATACTCTGTCCCTTCCAATAAGGTCTGCACAATGCTCTATGGATTCTCATTACAGAAGAATTTCATTTGTTGTGAATCCAAAGCAACAGTAACAGATTGATTTCCCATTTAAACATGCAAAACCAACAGCTGAGTTGGACACATCCTACCATGCAATACAAAGTCAAAGTAAAATCAGGAGCTTTAAGTGTCTGATCAGAGAGAAATCACCTGCTTGTCCAAAGAATGAGCAAAGTAATCAGCACTTTCTCTGTCCAGAAAGTGAAAGATCATTGTGTGATGTTACTTGGCCTTTTCCAAACAAAGGATAGAGTGAGCTTTCCCAATTCCAGAGGCAAAAATGAGCTATTTACACAGGAGGAGCAACAGCCTAATTAAGAGCTGGTTTATTGCAGAACAAATAGAGATCCTCTCTGCTGTAGGGCATAATGAAGCCAGTAATTGCATTGATGGAGTGGTTAAACTTGTGCTTCCTGTGGTGAAGGAATGACAGACCAGTAAGGCAGAAAAACATTAAGCAG